TGCCAACTATTATTATTACCATTATCAACATCATAACATTAAACTATCAAGGGGATACTTTACATAGGTAGGCAAAATAATAATCAAATTCATTTGGAGGAATTAAAGTTCCAGAACTTCAAGGGAAATAATGGGAAAAAAGCAAAAATGAAGGGGGTATAGAATTTCCATACTTTAAGTTATCCAATAAAAAACTATTTGGTACTGGTTAAAAACAGAATTGGATCAGTGGACAAAACTAGATAAGGAAGAAAGAAAAATAAGTGAACTCAATAGCTAAGAATTAATAAACCTGAGAATATAAATTACTTGGGGAAGAATTTTCATTTGACAAGAATTCATTGGAAAACTGGAAAGCAGTGTGGTACTTTACTTCATATAGCAAAATAAACTCAAAAAGGATCCAGAACCTCAATAATAATAGTTTTATCATTTAAAAAACTGAAGAGAACTAATTAAGCACCTTTCAGAGCCATGGCTAGGGAAGAATCCTTAACCAAAAAAGCAACAGAGGAAATTACAAAATATAAACAAGATATTTTCAATTATTAAAGTGAAAAAAGCTTTTGCATAAAAAAGTCAAGCCAAGAAGCACTTATTAAATGCTTACTATGTGCTACGCACTGTGCTAAGTATTAGAGACGGAAAGAAAGGAACAGTCAATACTTTCAAGAGCTCCTGGTCTGATGAGGGAGACAACATGCAAACAGCTATGTACAAAATACATATAGGATAAATAATAGGAAAAAAAAACTGAATTACAAAAAACTCAGTCTGTCAAACCCAAGTTTGACATGCAGGTGGGTATCCTATGTTTTAACCAATCAGTCATAATCTAGAGATCTTCTTTGTATCCCCAAGACCTAGCACAGTGCCTGGCACATTACAAGTGTTTAATAAATGTTTGTGAAATCAATAAATCAGATACCTTCATATACAGTAGTCTGTTTGGAGTCATTTATGCACTCTGAGAATTTGCCCCCCAGCTCAGGGGTATGCTATTTTAGGGATCAAATCAAACCAATAACCAAATCCTCAAATAAGAGTCCTCAAAAATTAGAAAAGTAAAATAAAAAACAACAGGTATTTATTAAGAACAACAACATATCAGGCACCATGCTAGGACCTGGAGATAAGAGACAAAATGGAGGAGTCCCACCCTCAATAAGCATACATTCTACCAGAAAGACTTCCTTCCAGAATCAGCTAGTCTTCAGTAATGAAAAGTATATGAAATTAGTATTTGTGTGTGCTATTATAGCTTTGCTTTACCTCATACTCAATTTCCTGAAAGCTAGTAGTACACATATCTCAAAAACACTTAAAAAGTGGAACCCTCATGACATTATAACTGTTTTACCAAAATGACTGAGTAAAATAATCTACAAAAAGATACAGTAAAAAAAAAAATCACATTTCAACATTTTTTAGCACTGAAAAAATAAGACCACACATGAACAACAATAAGAAGCTACCCAACCTAACAGGCAAAAACATTCTATCTCCTCTCACCCTTCACAAAGTTATTCTTAAAAAAAAAAAAAAGCAATAGACGTGATTTCTAGGCACTGTTCGCAGCCAATGGCTAGTCAAGTCAGAGAGTCGTTGAAGACATGGAACTCTTCACAAACCAATCAGGAAACAAGTTGCCATGCACTGTGTGAGTTTACCCAGTCTAGTAGCTGGCTGTGAACATATATTGAGGAAACTAAAAGAGGCAGCATGGCACAGTAGAAACTGTACTGAATATATATCAGAGGACCTGAGTTGGAATTCCAGCTGTTACTTACTACCCTAAACAAGTCACTTAATTTCACTGGGCTTCAGGTATGTTATCTATAAACTGCGAGGACTGGACAAGATAATAATCTAAGGTCCTCTTCTAAACTAAATGTATGGTCCTACAATCTGATGAAAATTAGAAATATCAAAACTTCTTTGAGAGGAATACCAACCAAGCCACTTTAGAAAGAAGGAAGTTTATCTACATTAGGTAAGAATTTGGAAATATCCTTTGTGATTTGGGGGCTAAGACAAAAGGAAAAGTCCATAAAGGTTTGCTATAAAATTTTCACTCAAGTATTAAAAGGTTACTGAACTGGATAAAACTTAATGGAACACTCACAAAATAAGAAAAAAAAAATTAAAACTATTTCTTCTTCAACACAGACAGGTGGGTGTTGGTCTTATTTTTGTATTTTCCCAGATAGGTGGGACTATCCTTCCTTAATGCCAAAATTCTTAAGAAACTACAGTCTAAGTATAATAATACTTTTTTCTCCAGCTTTATTATTATGCCCTTATAAAGAGCCTCCATATTCAATAGAAACAGCCAAGAACTTCCATATTTAATAGAAATCTTCTAAATTCAACACCAATTGTTGTATCTGCTATATAGATAATATCAACTACTTCCCCAATCCCTATTTATTGGCACTCTAATCACTGTATAATGTACAAGCAACTAAGAAGTTAAAGAGTCAACCAAAGACAGGCAACAAACTGAACTGAAAGAAATTATCCTCCTTCAGGCTTTAAATCAAATTTAAATTTAACCTTTAATTCAAAGAACAAAAGGAAACAAGAATCAAAAATGACTATCTGAAAACATACCATCTCCTATACGGGAACTAAAACCACTACCTAAAAACAGTAAATACTCTACACAGCTAACACCAACTATAAAATTTACTTCCTCCATTGATCAAGACATGAAGCATCCTTGTCACAAAAAATGAAGCATTTATGGCACCACGAGATAAATGAACATCAAACCACTTTCCCCATCTTTTTTTTTTTAAACTATAATAAACTATAGCCCTCTTAGAGCAAAAAGTCACAGACCAGACCATCTCCCAACCCATTTTCACTTATTATTTTAATTATTATTATTATTTTATGAGGCAAGGACGTCAGTTTAAAATTTTTATTAATTTGCTCATTAATAGACTTTCCTTCAAAACAAAATAATAGACACTATCTTTTCAAAAATACTGACATTACATTCCATGAACAACTTGAAGAATCCTCAAAGACCAACAATGATCCTTAAGCTACACTGTAGCTGTATAGCTACAGGATGCTATCTGTTATGCAGATGCTGAAAAACCTTTACAGTCGTCAAATGTTTAGGAAATTGGAATTAAAGTAGTCCATGCAGGAGCTGACTCTGCTTAGCAGCCTGAAAGGAGGAAACCTTCATAGCCTAAGCATGATTATCAAATTCTTTGTGCTGTTAAAGGAGAGTAATTATAGGCATGTGAAAAAAGGGAAGCACTCCCTGAGGTCCTCTTCCTTGCATTCCTCCCAAGAGGCACCAGGGCCATTAAAAATTCCAAGATGAAGAGGAAAACAGCCTGGGAACAGCCAGGAGGCAATACAGCAAATTAATACACCAACTGTCCTCAGGGAATGCTGTGATAAAACAGGAAACACTTCTCTCTTCGCAAAATAAAATTATACCACTAATGATAACACAGTCACCACACACACAAAAAACCATTCTAATGATGGGTGTGAAATTCCCAATGCTGCCCAGACGCTTTGAATGAAATCTTTCCCCACTACATACAAAATGAGGCAGAAAAAAAGGCAAAGCTCTTTCCTAAGACCAGCTCTTTCCAGTGCCAAGCATGTACCCCCAAAAAATCTCTTCCACCTACACCTGAAATCCACAGTCTCAATAGCTGATATTAAATTCTGCCTATCTGGCGTCAAGAGGAGTTGGAAAAGTCCTTCACTGACTAGAAACCTTCTCCTTAAAAGACTCTACAGAGAGAAAACACATACATTATTTCAGGAAAGTAAGAGATGGCCTGGAAGGTTCAGTGTTTTATCATTCACGTTTTCTAAAGGTTTCACAGAGGCCATGTGTGCTTATCAAATGAATAACAAAGAAGGAATGGTATTTAGGAGTGAGAGAAAAATAGAGATATCATCATCTATATTTGCTCTCCTTAGCCTTCAGCCAATGCCAAATATGTGAAGCAATAGACAATGTTTCTCTAGTTTAGTGTGCCCACGAGTACAGCCTAGACTTCTTCATGTTCCCAACTCCCAGTCACTTGAACTGATAGGCAAGAAATAGAAGATAATGATGTGACTAATGAGATATAGAGATAAGGAACACAAGCTGATGTGCAGCACAGCTTTTTAAAGGAAACAGGGAATCCCAATAAAAGCACAGATACTAACTCAGTATTGTCTAACCTCATTGGCAGAGTTAGGCTGAGGGCAAAACCAATCACTCCACTTTGCTTCTGATGTGATGCAGTACACTGGATCTGTTTGAAGGGATTTACATGTGATGAATGCAATTGCCACCTCAACAAAAGAGTCCCGACCAAAAGTCAGCAAGCTGTATTCACACTGCCTTTTTAAACTAAGGATCTAAATCCAGAGTTAAGAGAGAAGTGGTTTACACTACCTAAACAGTTTTCATATTTTCTGTACAACTATTTGTAATATTTTTCCTTTCCAAAGACATTTCCCAACTTCCCCACTTGATTCTGCAGTATATCAGAGTCCTATGACTAAGGTCACAGCTTCATGTGGTAAAAATGACTGTGCCCATGAAGATTCTTCATCTTTTCAAACACTGCACAGCCAACCCTATATGAAAATTATTAAATGAGTAAATGCATGGACTTTTTGCCATTAGATCAAAAGTATTTCACTAATTGGCATCTATCAATTAGCTACACAAGGAACTGCATGTACAATACATACACAACAAATATATTTGAAATACACAAGCAGTTTGACTAATAAGCTTCTTAGGTACGTCAATTTGCATAGAATTAAGAGCTGACCTTAGAATGACTAACCAACCTTACCTTTGTGGTAAAAGGAGAAGCATATTTATTTGTTTTCTCATCTAGTTCCTTAAGAGAACCTCTCTCCAGAGAAGCAGAATTAGTAATATTCTTTTCAGATGAGGCTTTATTGGCACTGACTAGAAGGAAACGAGAGGAGCCCCTCCAAGAGACCAGAAATATTACCTGGCAGAACAGTGTGCTGGTAAGCATCTTCGGTGGGAGGCGTCAGCAAGAACATCCAGAGAATAGAGGGGAGAAAGGGGATTGAACTGAAAGAACAAAAAGGAAGTCATTGCAATAACCCCCACTTGAAAGACACAACCAGAATGGGAAAAAATAATCCCATTGTCAGAATACTTTTCCCCACTTTTATCTCAACCATTCATGCTTCTCAAAACATTATCACAAAACTATTTAGTAAGGCTATATAACACTCAACATTATGCCATGTGATTGCAACATGACTAGTCCAGTTCTCTCAAAAAGAACGACTATTCTTCTATTGTTATTCCTCTAAAAACCTTTTAATATATGATAACACAGCATTTTCTGCAAAAGTACCATTAACTGGCAGTTTTGCCTATCAATTTAGACTCCATTCAAACTCATTCTCAAGTAGACTAGCAAATTATTACTTCCTATTCCCCTAACTCAGAGAATCATTTTAATGGATGATAAAAGTATCTGTAATATGGCATTCTGAAAATGGTACTGTCAGGGAATCAGAAAACCCAGGTTCTGGTCACAACTGTGCCACTAACTTGCATTGTGATTTTGAGCAAGCCAGTTAACTTCTTGGCCTTTACAGTGTTTTCTAACATGGAAATGCTATAGAGTGCCAGATGTGAAGCTAAGAAGACCTAGGTTCAAATCCCCCTTCTGAAACTTATGAACTACATTAAGCAATTAAAAAAAATGCCTGTGGTACCTCCTTCACAAGGTTGTTGTGAGGTTCAAATGAGATAAGGTATATAAAGTAATTTACAACCTTGAAAATGCTATGTGCCAATTATTATTGTTATTACCTATCACTTCACAAGGTTATTGGGATAAAAGTTTAAAAGGTTTTGAAAAAGAGAGTGATACACAAATGTCAAGTACTCTTAGCATAGAGCAAGCTAAATTAATACTTTAATAACTAACTCAAGATAGCTGTAAAATCGCTTTTATCATTCTCCCCAAAAAAGCCCAGAACTAAACATATCTTTTAAAAAATAAAAATTACTTTCCAGCTTCTAAATATGAATACAATTCTATTATTAGTATAGCAATTTCTCTAACAGATATCCAGATCCAATAGGGGGACATGAAAGTAAGGAAGTCTTACCGATCAGCCTCCACAATTACATATTCTCTTCTGTAAGACTAATCATTAGGATGAAAAAACCCCAAAGAACTGTAAGTGGAAAAATCTACATGCAGCCCATTCTATGATATCCTTGTTGCCAGCTCAAAACAACTGATTACCACCTGATGTCCTATAAAGAATCAGTGACTAAAAAATAAAGTAACCACCACAACACTGAACCCTGAAAAGGAAATTAGCCACAGCAACCTGATAAGAGTCAAATATCCATGAATCATAGAATGCTTAGAATACCAAAGCTAAATGGATGGATAATGACTTCCTTACCTCATGTGAACAGGCAGGAATGTGGGGAAAATCAGAAGTCAACGCTTTGTTCTTTCTAAAGAAAAGGAAACCAAATGAGAAAATAAAGATGACAGAAGAGCCAACTTACCTGGTTGCGCTCTCTCTTCCCTGTTGATGGTAACCAGAAACTAAAGGGAGGGAAAGAACAAAAAGGGAAGAAAACAAAAGACAAGAAGCAGGCAAAAGACAAAGGAAAAGAAAACAAAAAGATGAAGAGAAAATAAATTAAGGAAATGAAAAGATGGAGTTGGGGGAGAAAGGGAAAGAAATATTAAACATGTGCAAGCTTCACACTGGAAACAACTTTTCAAAGGAAAAGCCTCCTAATGAGAACAGCAAGTGTGGGGCAACATGATAATGGACCCATTTGCTAAGCTATGCAAATAAACTGCTGACTAACAACCTGATCCCCAAGTCAACAAGAGCTTAACCACAGATTATAAGTATCTTTGCTTACTGTTACAGACTGAATAGTATTCTATGTTGGATAAATAAATACAGTCTGTTGAAACTGGCTCCCAACTAAGGCAAGAAGAAATACCAAAGAGCCATTATATTTTGTGAAACAAGATTTACAGGATACAGCTGTCATGAGAAAGGACAGAACATTCCTCCTACAATAAATAGCATGCTCAGAATAGAGTTCCTTGGAGGACTTCACCACCAATAATTAGCACAAAAATTCTTTCTCTATGAAGTTGCATGAGATCTCTTCTTCTTAACACTAAGCATGATTTATTTTGATAGCTTCCTCTCCTTTGCCACCCAATACCTAGCCCAATGCAAGTAGTGGTAGGCACTCAATATATATTTATTGAATATCTGCAAGGGAGGTAGTGGGTGAAGATAATTTTCAATGTTGTAGATTTATATTAAAAGAGAAAAATAACTATTAAGTTAGGAGTTCAGAGTACAAAAAAAACGTAGCAAAAAAAAAAAGCAAAGCAAGAAGAAAAACAGACTAGAAATAAAAAAACAGCTATAAAAGACATGTCATATGGGTCAGTGCTTTAGATAGGACAAATGCCATAAAGAACATTTCACTGGATTTCTAAAGCCTCTTTTATGATGCTAAAATTCTGGTCTCTATGACAATTTTCTGGTGGCTATAAAAATTCCCCTTTCTTCCTCCCCCTTACATAGAACAGGAAATTCCTGATCTTTCTCTTTCTCAGAGCTTAAATCAACCAACCAGAAACACAACAGGTACTTACTCTTTCTGACGTGGGTCACTAATTATGTGGCCTACCCTCTCAGTCCCTAAAGTGCTCATGCTGGTCTCCTAAAAAGACAGAGAAGTGAAATATGTCACCACTACTATGAACACCGATAAACAGTGCAAAGCATAATTTTCTGTCAGATTTTTTGAAAAGTACGTCAAACTCATTATATCAAGTTCATCCTTTCTTACATCTATGGTTAAAGTCAAACTCAATGACATTAGTCAATAGTGGGGCCCAAAGGTTAACTTGTTTCCAATGGGCCTAATATGCTTACGGTTAGACTGTAAGCTTCATAAAGGTAGGGACTATCTTGTGAATCTTTGTATCCCTCCCAAATATTGAGTACAATGCCTACTACATAGAGAACATTTGCCAAATGAGCTGAATGAATTCCTAAGTACTCAAAGGCTAAAATTAGTCACCACATACTGGTATCCTCCTAACCAAACCATTTTCTCCTCCCCCTCTTTCCTAAAAGCAGAAACTGGTACTGTTTTTACAAACTGCTAAGTCCTTAGCCTAAACTTTTAACATCACAGGCCTCAGAAGGTAGTAATGTAAATGATCACACAGAACCATCATTTTTGGAATATAGCGAAATGACAGGAAGAACTCACCCTTCACTCAACATGAACATCCATTACAGTATCTGTGAAGGCAAATGGACTGGGCTGTGTGCACATACTAATACATAACATGAATAAGAGTTGCACAAATATGTATAACTGTTAAGGCTGAGTAAGCACAAGTCAAGTGTGCACAAAAGTCAAGAAATATATAAGCCTGTTGTGTGCACACAGTCTCTGGGCAAGCATTTTGTGTGTTCATCTATGTGGTGAATTAATTTAAGCATTAAGCTGCACATCTTAGCATAACAATTTGCTATAGAAAATTAATTTGAGGTCAGGTTCTGGGCGGGAATGGAGCTAAATGAAAAGGTTTTACACCCTGTATTCTTCATCTCTTATGGCCATGCCTCCTGTCACAGACACACATGAGGTAGGGGGGCCACAGGGAGGGATGGCTGAAAAATGGGCTATTTGTTACAGTAGAAAAATTATTAACTTAAAGTGCTGTAATGTTTAAATTTACAGTTTATTACTGTGTAAATTACAAGCCGTACTTTCAGTAATTAGCAGCTCGCTGGCAGGGAGCTGTGAATGAAACTCATTATTTATGATTACAATTTAGAAAAAGAGAAGAGAGGGACAGGAGGGGATGACGAAGTAGGGGGAGGTGGGTACAACAGTGACCTCCACTGTAAATGACAAATACCCCTTTAAGGTGATGAAGACGAATTTAACAAGTAAATATTATCCTATTCATTTGAACAGTTGTTAGAGATATTTCCAATAGACTCTTGTTCTCTCCCAGCTAAAGAAAGCCTGATTTACTCCATATCAGCTGAAGGCTCTTATTTTATAATAGCTAAAAGCAACTCGGATAGGTGGAGAGGAGACTATTAGCTATCAAATCTAGCAGACAGAGAGAGGGGGAAAAGTGAAAGAGCCCTCTCTACCTTCCCCTTCCTCATTACATACTCTTAATATGTTCTCCAACGAGGCTTTCAACATAGCAAAAGGGATATGGGATATTTTAATGTACACAAAAGGAGCTTCAGAAGTAGATATTCTTCCAACAAATGAGTCTGGGCAATGTATTGTAGTAGAAAAAGTGCCAAACTTAAGACAGATAAGATACCTCTCCAGTACTCAGATTCCTCATGTAAAACAAGGAAGCTGGGCTAGATGACCCCTACATGGAGTCAGGAATATAACTACAAAAAGTGAAATCTCCATTTCTACAGAAATTTTTTAAAAACTGATAATTGGTTTGTTTAAATTTTACAAAATAAATACACTCTCAATTATCTTCCTCACATTCCTGACTCTAACTCTCCTTCCAACCCTCTCTGGCCAAGTAGGGCTCCTATTCTTCTGGCCCTGATTATGTATCTCACAAAGCTTTAAAAAAAAAAAGTAAGAAACTGAAGATTGCCTGTGTCCTAAATGTCCCTAAAGAGTACTAAAGCCTCCTTCAGTAGCAGTTATTATTCCTGATGGTCTCTGATAAATATGGGAAGAAAGGTTAATACTACAATGAACAAAGAAATCTTCATAAATTTAGACAAAGTGTCATGATAAGAGATAGAAAAGATCTCAGAGCAAAAAGACTTTAAATGACAAACATAGTTAACACAACAGTAAGCTGAAGTACAGAACATAAGGAAAGTGCAGGTCCACAAGATGATTTACAATAAATCCTCTGTTGGCCAATATTTTCTCTACCTGAAGCAGAGGACAGAATTAAGCTTAAACAAGAATTGGGGGTGATGGAGGGGGCTGCTTGGCAAGTGGGCCAGAAGCTCTATGGCTTTCTATTCATTCCCAAATGAATTCAGTTCTGTTATATGATCTAACAGAAATAATACAAGCATGCTAAATTAGCTATGTGGAATACTGTTAACTTACAGCAACACTTTTGATTATGATAAGTACACATACTCAATAGGTAACATTATTATTATTACCCTACTTAGGCGAATAAATACATTAAGGGGCATCACCTTTCCAACAAGCCTTCTTCGTCCTTTTCTGAGGCATCGGGCAGCAGCTCCAGGGAGCCGATTCAAGCGTGCATGGAACCCTGGAAATAAAGGGGAAAGACCTCAGCATTCAGTTCAATTAAGCAAGTATTTATTAATCAAGTACTATGTTTAAGGCACCATGGTCGGTGCTGGGAATTTTAAAAACAATAAGCCAGTGAAAACATGTCTATCCCCAAGGAGCTTATAATCTTAGTACTCAATAAAGCCAACTACTTATTGAAGATATTTGCTACCTTGAAGGCTTTACCAACAAAACTCTACTAATTTTGCCATGGAAATTGAATTTATAAAGTTCATTTCCCAAACTTTAGCTATTCCAAAACCATAAGTCCTCAATTCCCACAACTTTAAATATGCAGGGACAATCTATGATGTCATCAGTATGGGGAACTACCATCACCAGTGAAGATTACAACCCACAGATATAAATAAGTCCTGACTTATTATTATATTTATATGACCGATCAAGGCATTTAGAAGTGACGTGACTTATCTAGGTTCACACACCTAATATGCATCACAAGTGGGATTTGACCCCGTTTCCTGTTTCTAAACCCAATACTTTATCCCTTGGGTCATGTTTCTTCTACAATTAAGTTGTTTCTTTTTAAATAAATAGTCATTCAACAAACATTTATTAAGTACCTACTATTGTGCCAAGTAGTGTCCAAGGCCAAGGGGGTGGGGGAGGGCCACAGATGGATGGACAGACAATGACAAATACAAAGAATGAAATAATTCTCACTCTCAAAGAGCTTACATTTTAATGAGATGGGAGAGAGAGAAAGAATGAATATAAACAGAATAAATGCAAAATATTTTGGGAGGGAGAACAAAAAGGGGAGGAGGGGGTTTGGGACAGGGGTTAGGAAAGGCTTCATGTAGAACATGATACTTGAGCTGCCATCTTGGAGAAAGGAAGGAATTCTATAAGGCAAAGGTAAGAAAAAGTACATTTTAGGCATGGAGAAGGCTGTGTGCAAGAAAGAGACAAAGCCAGTTTGGCTAGACTATAGAGTATAGGACAGGAAGCACTATACCAAAAAGCTAGCCAACTTAGAAAGAGTTTTAAAAGCTAAAGAGAGAAGTTTATATATTACCTGAGAGGCAATAAGAAGCCACTGAAGTTTATTGAGTATGGGATGGACACAGGAAATCTTAAGGAAAACTGATTTGGCAGTCATGTGGAAGATGGACCAGTTCAGGAAAAGCCTGGAGGCAAGGAGACTGATTAGGAAGCCACTGTAATAAATTAGGAAAGAAATGATGAAGGCCTGAACTAATATGGTAGCTGTGTGAATAGAAATGGGTTCAGATGCCAGGGCAGCTGCAGAAGTAGAAATGGCAAAATTTAGCAACTAGATAATGTGGGGTGAGAGTAAGGAGACAAGGAGAATGTCAAGGCTACAAAATTCAGAATTGGAAGGATGGTGATGACTCTGACAGAAATAGAGAAGTTTGGAAGACAAGTAGGTTTAAGGAGGAAAAAAATAATGAATTCTGCTTTGGATATTGTTAGTTTGAGATGTTTCTAGGACATCCAGTTTGTAAAGTTCAATACAGATAGGGACGCGGGATTAAAGTTCGGGGTCTGTTAACTCAAAAATACGTTAAAAGATAGGATTCAAACCAGGCTGCAACACTGATGCTAGTCTTTACCAAAAACTCAATTTCTATTACAACCAGAGAAGACAAAACTGCTCTATTAAAATCACTGCAAATTTTTCTAAGGTAACATGATTTAAAAAAAAATTAAACACATGCTAAAACTTATAAATTCAAATAAGTTGTCCTCTTCAAAGTCATAACCTAAAGTCAAAACCTATTTATTCCAGAGGTGCTATCACTGCTCATAACAATTCGGAAACTGACTTTAGAGCCATGGAATGTTCTTTCAAATATTCTCAATGGTGAAAAGTCTTCATTCTTTGGTGGTGGATTTGATTTTGAAAACAGTCTAAGTACTTCAGAGCCAAGTCTAGAAAATAGAGTAAACTGAAAATTAAAGTTTGGAGGCTAAAAAGGTAAAGTGACTATAAAATTAAGAATGACTCCTTAATTGATTCTGAAGGCAATGCCAAACAAGGAATTCCGAAACTATTTTGCGTAATGGCAGTTATCACCAGAATAAGTGTATAGTTTTTCAAGGTGCCTATTCTAAAGAACACAATATATGAGTTCTGAAATATATTAAAATGTTAGTAAGTCATACCTCATACACAGCTATTCTTTTACATGTAAAACTGAATGAACTAAGGATCTTGGAACAGCTCCTGAAGGAGAAGAGAGGGAAGAAAAAATAAGGAAACAAGAGGGAATGAGCATTTATTAAGTGCCTACTATATGCCAGGTACTATGCTAAAAACTTTACAAATATTATACCTCAAACTCACCATATCAAATCTCTGTGGTAAAACATTAAGACACAGTACTGAACACAAATTAGGAGCTTCATAAAAACTTCTTGATTCATTACTGAGCTTCCAAGTTACAGAATTCTAGAACTGCAAGGGGACTCAGATCATCTATTCCAACCCCCTTACTTGGTAGATGAGGAAACTGAGGCTCAGAAAAGCTAAATAACTGACTTATCTGAGGACACCTACTTCATCAGAAGCCAAGAAAAAACAGGAGGAAGGGAAGCGGCCCTAGAAGACAGGTCTCAAATCCTAGTTCAGTGTCTATTCCATTAAGATAAGCTACTCACAAGTGATAAAAAAAAAATAGAATGGTATAATGGAAAGTGCCCTAGACTGCCAATTTAAAACCTAAAACCTAGAAAAACTGGAAACTAAATTACAGGACCTTGGACAAGACCTTCAACATTTCTGAACCTCTCTTCAACTTGGGAAACATTTTTTAAATACCTATACCATGCACATGGTACCACACAAAAGGGCGAACTGTGGAGCCAGAAAGACCTGGGTATAAGTCCTGTCTCTAACACAGAACAGCTGTGTGACCATAGGCAAGTTTCTCAGTGCCCCTGTCAGCTATCTAAGGCTGTAACATACAAATGAGTATCTGATTTGCTTTGGTAAAGTAGGTTTCCACAGAAGGAGTTCTTCACACTGATGAACTCATGGGTCTGGGAACGACCAAAAAAAAGTACCTGTCTTATCTTTTTTTTGGGGGGGGGCAAGGCAATTGGGGTTAAGTGACTTGCCCAGGGTCACACAGCTACTAAGGGTCAAGTGTCTGGTCTGAGACTGGATTTGAACTCAGGTCCTCCTGACTCCAGGGCCGATGCTCAATCCACTGAGCCACCTAACTGACTCAGAAAAGTACACATCTCAAGATTAACCACAGGCAGGGACTGTTCCATTTTCATATCTCCAGGTCCTCACAGAGTCCCTGGAACATAGTAGGCACTTACTTAATAAATGCTTATTGATCAAATAATTGGGAGATACAAAGACAAAAAACAAAATGGTAACTATGTCTCTGTCTTTGTCTCTCTCTCTCTCTTTCTCTCTCTCTCCCACATCCAGCAGTCCAGAGAGTTCATCAGTTTGAGAGTTCCAGGTACAACTAAAGAAGCAAAGACTCATATTCTAGACAGATATGGATACAGAAAGGCAGTCACTTGAGGAGGAAGTAGTTTCAAGAAATGTAACCCCTGACAACAGAAAAGACATTCAGTTATTGACTCCAGAGAGAGCTAGCCCTGGCAATTGAGAGTCAAGCTACAGAAAAGAGCAAAAGCTGGGAACCCAGCTAAACAATCTGCTAAGCAGATATGTTATATCTAAGAGGAGCTATTACAAGGTGAGAAAGGTTTACTTATCAGATCTTTGGAGAAGGGAAGAATTTGTGACCAAACCAAGAGATAGAGAACATTATGAAATGCAAAATGGATGACTTTGATTACATTAAATTGAAAAGTTTTTGCACAAACAAAACCAATGCAACCAAGATAACAAGGGAAGCAGAAAGCTGGGAAACAATTTTTACAGCCAGTGTCTCTGACAAAGGCCTCATTTCTAAAATATATAGAGAACTGAGGAGAATTTATAAGAATACAAGTAATTCCCCAATTGATAAATAGTCAAAAGATATGAACAGGCAGTTTGCAGAAGAAGAAATTAAAGCTATCTATAGTCCTATGAAAAAATCTTCTAAATCACTGCTGATTACAGAAATGCAAATCAAAAGAACTCTGAGGTACCACATCATACCTATCAGATTGGCTAACATGACAAAACAGGAAAATGATAAATGTTGGAGAAGATGTGGGAAACTGGAACACTAATGCATTGTTGGTGGAGTTGTGAATTGATCCAACCATTCTGGAGAGCAATTTGGAACTATGCCTAAAGGGCTATAAAATTGTGCACACTCCTTGACCCAGCAATACCATTTCGAGGTCTGTATCCCAAAGAGATCATAAAAATGGGAAAAGGACCCACATGTACAAAAATATTTATAGCAGCTCTTTTTGTGGTGGCAAAGAACTGGAAATTGAGGGGATGCCCATCAATTGGGGAATGGCTGCACAAGCTGTGTTATATCAATGTAATGGAATACTACTATGCTATAAAAAATAATAAGCAGGCAGACTTCAGAAAAACCTAGAAAGACTTGTATGGACTGATGCTGAGTGAAGTGAGCAGAATCAGGAGGACTTTGTACACAGTTACAGCCACGTTGTGAGATGACCAACTTTGCTAGACTTAGCCCTTCTAGCAATGCAAGATCTAAGACATCTCCAAAGGTCTCATGATGGAAAATGCTATCCACATCCAAAGAAAGAACTATGGAGTCTGAATGCAGATCGAAGTATACTATGTGCTCTCCTTTTCTTTTGTTGTTTTGCTTTGTTTCCTCTTTCTTGTGGTTCCTTCTCTTGGTTCTAGTTCTTCTTTACATTCTGGCTAATGTGAATATGAATGTATAAGTAGAAGCCTATATCAGATTGCATGCTGTCTTGGGGAGGGGGGAGGAAAGGGAGGAGGAGAAAATTTAAAACTCAAAATTTTATGGAAGTGAATGTTGAAAACTAAAAATAAATAAATAATTTTTAAAAAATAAAATAAAATAAAAATGTAACAAATAGTTTAAAACCAAAAAAAAAATGTGAGAAAGGGCTTCCAGGAACTGCACTACTACTACTAGCAGTTGAGAGTTGCCTTTGCCACACATGTCTCCTACACAGGTGTCTCACAACAATTAAACTCTAAGGTTGAGCACACTTTTTCCATAAATGCTACTTGTATTTTTAGGACAACGTGCTTCATATTTACAGGAAAAATGTTTTGTAATTATTTTTCTTAACGTGCCTTTGTAGGCCTTTGCTGAGAGGCTACCAATGGGATACACACTGGTGGGGGCTCATGAGTTATATAACTTTATAACTTATATAATTTATATAACACTACATAACATGTGTGTATGTGTGATATAAACACTACAGTGTTAAGAATGGATAACCAAAGGTTCTAGAAAAAGTTGTGGGAATACTACACTGATACACATATTGGTTATATCCCCAGGAATAAGGATTGTCTTATTCTTTGTATTTGTATCACTAGTGCTTAGCACAATGCTTGGAACATAAGCACTTAAATGCTTGTCCACTGATTTCTAGAGGATGAATTTCTAGGAAGAATAGTTACAGAGCTAAGATATGATTTCTGGCTAAGATAACAGCCTATTGGAGGCAGGCAGATCCATTTCAACAATTCTAACTCAAGCAAAACTCTAAAAAATAGCACCAGATAGAATAATAATAATCAAAAAATCCATTGTGGAACTACAGTGACTACAGTGATAGTAAAGAAGATAGGAGGGAGAAATATATTTGAAAATAAAGGTGATATAAAAACAGAAGGTAATAAAATAAAATATTAAAATAAAAAAGGCAAATTTAATAATCCAAGTAAGAAATGATGAGAGCCTGACTTATGGTTGTAGCATTATGAGTGGGGAACATGGAAGAGATGAAAGAGATTTTGTGGCAGCAGAATCAACAAAATGTGGCAAGTGATTAGATATGAAAGGGTATGGGAGAGTAAAAAGTCAGGATACTTCAAAGTGATGAGAACAATAGTGGTCCCCTTAGCAGAAAAAGGGAAGCTGTAATGAGGGGGAGTTTAGAGGAAAAGATAAACGAGTTTTGTTTTGAACATGATAGTGACCAGGTATCCTGGGGGAGATCTCCAGCAGGCAGCTAGTGTTAAGGAACTGGAATTCAGAGAGCTTAAAGCTAGAGAAAAGAGATTTTGGAATCATTTGTTTATAGGTAGTAATTAAGGCTATGGAAATAGATAATTATGGTCATCAAGAACAACATTCATGCTAAGGGAGTAAATATATACTGATCCAGCAAAGCATGAAGAAATCAACAAATAAAAGAATCAGGAGAGAGAAAAGTATCATGGAAGAGTATAGGACGAGAGGGTGGTCAATGTACTGAATGCTACAGGAAGATAAATAGTATGTGAATCGAAAGAAAAAAAAGTCATTAGACTTAGCAGTTAACAGACTGTTAGTCACCTCAGGAAAGTTTCATTTGAGTGTTGAGGTTGGAAAGTAAAACTTCAAGAGGTTAAGAAGTGAATAGGAGGTGAGGAATTTAAGTCAATGAGTGAAGACAACAACTTCTCCTATGAGTCTCATTATGAAAGGAAACACAGAGCTATGAGGACAGTTTGAAGGGGATGGCACAGTCAATACGTCAATATCTGAATGCACGCGAGAGTCTCAATTTCAATTCTTCAGATACTGAAGTATTCCATGCTTTTCAGTCATGCAACACAAATGGACGAATGCTGGGTAAAAAAGATGAGCTTTTGTTTTTTACACTATTAAGTATTGGCACTATTAAAATACCTCTGTAATTTCCCAAAGGACTGCTTTCATGCTCCTGTTCAATTCTCAACTCAGTCTTGGCACAGAAAAGAGACCACCTTTTCCTTAGAGATGGGAGCAAAGGAAGAGAGAATGAAAACAATGTAGAGGGGTTTTGTGGCATGAAATAGGAGACAAGAAGTTGCTGATAGTAGACAGTCTCTATTTTTTTTTTAATTAAAATAGGACAACAGGTCCTTTGCTGGGGGTAAGGAGGGAGGATGGAACAAAGGGCTTAAGGATAGAAGTTTTGGAGTAGGTACTACAGAGTGTAAGTCAAATAAGAGAAAATGAAAATACTTCTCTTGGGCTACAAGGATCCAGTTTAGTTCAGATAACATAAATTTGCAGAAAATACTATCTGCACAGTTCTGTGACATCAATTAGCATGTAAATATAAACAGACAGGATGGATTTGGGGGAGTTTGGTCGGGGGGAGTCCAACCCAGGGTCACGGTTTGGCAATTTGCGAATGGTAATAGTTCAAAATGCATTAGAGGTTTCAAGGGTATAAGGCAGTACAGAGCTGAAGTATTCAACTGTAAGACTGAGCATGTGAAGGAAAGAAAATAAGATCAGAGCAGGGGCGATGTACTGAAGGAACATGAAAGGTTGGAGAGGGGCAGTGGGGATAAAAGTTGCAGTCAAAATAAATAATCTATTAAATAAAAGGGTTGGACTAAACAGTTTTTAAGGTCTCTACCAGCTTTAACATTCTATAATTTTATGATGCCATAAACTAAAAATGGAAATAAAAGTTATTCAAAGAAATACCTTTTAATCGACTCTTAATAACAAGCCATTATCCTAAAACCATTTCTTACTGAAATCTGTTCTCATCAAGCCCAAAGAGCCAACATTTCAGCAACCCCTAGTAGGGAGCTAACAAACCTTTAGCTTCAATGCGGTTCAACAAGTAAGCAGTAAGACAGTTGCTGACCTGCAGCATCCTAACAGGAATGCTATTGGCAGTACTGGACTTAGGGAACTCTTCTCAACTTACCATACACTCCACCACACTCCACTTTATCTTGATGTTACATATGAGGAAACTGAAGCCTAGAGAGATGGTGAGCCAACTCTGAAGCCTCCAGTAATCCAGGCGGGTTTCAAGACCTCTAGCGTTAGTCCCATTCCGGTCTAAACTCATACCCATATAGTTGTCTGGAGGAATCCCAAGAGCATTCTCAGACATTCGTTAACAGGCAGATAGGAATTCATGGATACTTCAGCTATGAGACAATTATCCAGCCTATAGCTAATCATATGTGTCAAAAAAATTAAATTATCATTAATCTTGTTTCCCAAGCACACTGGAGACTTACCTCTTTGAGCTGGACGAGAGGGCAAAAGGAATGTGGAATCTGAAAGTTTGTCTAGTCCTGCATCCATTCTCTCTACTTCAGATCGATGATCAGGTGCCCACTTCGGGAGGAGATTGGGGACAGTGAATCCTGAGACACATTCACCTTCATAGAACCAATCACTCTGTTCATCATCCCCTAAAACAGGTAAGCCAAGTTATCAACACTTAACTCTTACAAGGTGGTCAAAATGAACAAAATTTCATTTTGTTTCATAATATGACATTTTAGGTAACCCTTTTAAAGTGACAGTTACATAAGAACTCAACATCATCGTCTCCCTTCTCAATATCACCATTAAAAAGCACTTTTAACTACATGCCCACCTACATATCAAATTGCATTACATGGTACTATCCAAACTAGATGGTACTACCTACCTCACATTGTAAACAAGAGGCTTTGTAAACTTTTCAGAGATAAGAAGTGTGAGTTATAATTATTGCATGGCTTTTAAACTGGTTATTCTGTACTATATCTAGAAGAGAAAGGCTACTTGAAGGTTCTAAATCATAAATTGTCTTACAATCCAAATTTTGTTGTTTCTGGGATGCATTCTATATACTCAAACTTTATGTTGTATAAAGAACCTATATTCACATCTTCCTCCCTACTAGTTCATTAATGGGAGGGAGATAAGCAACTTAGCACTGGCTCAATAGGCTACCACTAAGAAATTAAGAGGAAAAACAGAATTTTAGAACTGGAAGGGATCTTAGTGATCATGTTTTTATAGTTTTTATGGTTTTATAGATGAGGAAACTGAGGCCCAGAGAAATTATGTTCTTTGCTCAAGGTCATATACATAGTCAGTTATTAATGATCAGGCCAGAGTTAAAATCCCATCTCCTAGCTCTCAGTTTAAAATGTCTTCCTGCTACAGGGGAAACAAAATGTGTTTTGTTGTTGAGAAAACTTCTGCCTGCCAAAACAGAAATATGATAAATTGCCTCATTCCTCTTCTCAAAACCACAGAATTAAGAAATGATGGGCAGGGCAACAAAGCACTACACCTGTTACCCCAGTAACAACATAAGGGTTAATGGATACATTAATCCTGCTGTGAATTACATCCTAGGAGGGCTACTTTGAAACTGCCAGTCCTCTGAATTTAAACACAGGATTGTGACAAATGTTAAACCACTATGAAAGTCTCCAAAAAGCAAAGTTAATGCAGCTAACAAAACTGTATTTTGGTAAATGATCTGTACACAATGATATTCCTATGAAAGCAGGTCTGCCCATTGTCCCCTCAATAAAGGCACACCAATATAACCAGCAATAAATGCCAAGAAAACTGGAAAGTAGTAGAATTAAAGATGATTTAATAAGATGTTCTATCTTATATATGTTCATTATACCTTCTAATCTCGAAAAAAAAATTTCTCTAGACCTCACACTAAGAATATGCTATGGAGATAAATGTTTTCACATGAGAAATGACAAACACTGCTCTGAAATGGGAAGTGGTGATTCCTAAGCACTTACATAAGACTTTTAAAAAAAAACTCAATATAGCTTCACTGGGCCAAAAGAGATCTTGACAAGTCATCTGGATTATATCCCTAACTCTACTCAGGATTATACCTATACCACAAATTAAAAGATGACCATCTTTCTATCTGACAGACAGAGAGAGAGAGAAGACCACCAATAAAAAAATTCATAACCACCCTCGGCAACTCAATACTTTATCCTTATTTTCATAAAGGTCTTCCTAAACTTAATCCTTTATATTACAGTCATGTCCCTGTATAAAAATAATGCTTCATAACCTTAAAAAAAATTTATTAGGTCATTATACTGTTTCTCTTTAAGTAAATCAAAATAAGGGATCAAATATTAGTCGTTTAGGGCAATATATGCAAACAGCTTTCTGTACATGTAAAAAGGACCACGGGAGAAATACTAGACGTGACCAGGACTGAGTCAAGTAATGAGACCCAACAAGCCTGCCTAGAGAGAAGGCCCCCAAACCAAACTAGACCATCTATAACTAATTTATCATTCCTTATAGTATTCAAAGTGGCATTCACTGTAACCTACATAGCACAGCATTAAGTAGTCCTGGACTAGTAGGAAGTTAAGAATGCTATCTCAGATTTTAGCAGCGGCCTGACAGCTCTGGGGTATGGGTGAGATAGTCCTACACTTTCCAGGCATAGCAAAATCCATTCAGCTTTTAGTGGGTCTGACAGAGTGAACTATGACTTAGAAATATAGTAACTGTCATCGTGCCATTAATTCCCTACAAAGAATCCTAGAACATGAGGGCTAGTTAAAAAAAAAAAATCTAATCCAACTTCATTATATTAAAGAACTGCAACCCAGAAAGCAGAAACATTTCCAGAATCACATGGGGCAAACCTATGAAACAAAAAATATATCTTTTTAGACAGTAAAAGTGAAAAATCTTATTATTAATATGTTAAACTTGTTTATAGTGTTCCATGTTATGAATTACATGTTTATAGAACAGCATGAAGATATTTTCTACGATAAGCTACACTCAACAAAATTTTAATCTTTTTCAGGAATAAAAACATATACAGGCAATTAAATTTTTCCTATACAAGAGTAAAAAAGTTTCATATATATCACACAATTATAAAGGGTAATACTATGGACATATCTGTTGTCTCAGAAAAAATAACAGCCCAAAGACCCATCCCTATTATTCAAACACACTATATAAGTGCCACATTCAAAAAGAGTCACTCTTATAATTACTAGAGTTTTCTCATAAATACTGAGCACAGCCTCAGGGCTCTGAGATCAAAATTACCTTGACGACCTTCATCATTGGTGAAGAGACCTGTGTCACTGCTACTACATACACTGCTGGTTTCACTGGAAAAAGAGTAAAACAAACAAAAACTATACATTACCTCAAGTCATAAAACATTTTAGACATCTCAAATTAAGTTTAAAGATCCCAAGATTTCATTCCATTCACAGACCCTACAAATAATTAAGACATGAAAAATTTCCAGAAATTCTTAATGGGAAAATTTCATGTCCCAACCAGAAGGGAACTCATGGTTTCATAACTTCTGGAAATTTTTCATGTCTCATATGTGGAGTATGTGAATGCAATAAAATCTTTGGATTGAAACACTTTTTGATGATGTAAAATTGCTTTAAAATTGCTTAAGTAGTTTAGGGCATTATTCACATATATGTAGATATATGTAGTTTCCCCATAAAGAGACATTTGCTACAACAGAAACAGTTTATTTAGAAAGTGACAAATCAAGCTACCCTAAACTTAACTTTAATTTTTAAAATTTTTTTCCATAATTGTTGTTAAATGCTAATGAACCTAGCATATCTTACTTTTTGCTACTGTGTAAGAACAGACAAAAACCCAAGAGACAGAATAAATCATCAATACCAAAATGCAACAAAGAAAGTTATGACATCTTCTGAACTTTGTACCTCCAATGTCAAGAAAGAAAGAAGCTAGTTGAGGTAGGAGAAAAAAAGATACAGCCACCACCCACTACCAAACTCGCTTAATTCAATTTGACATCTTTTTTCAATTTGACATTTCTAACCAGTCTCATTTTCTAAAACATCACCATTAACAGTTTCTGCTGCTTCTGACGATGATTTTTTTTTATCATGTCTTCACAGATTTCTGAAATGAAGGTTTTCCTAGACCAATATCTTTCATATGCTGCAAATGGAAAAACCTGAGGATGGCAAGAAGCAAGAACAGTTATATATTGTCAAATAAAGGCCTTACAACCTATTACGAAAGAGATATATTTAGTAAAATTGCATTCTGGATGCAATGGCTAAAGATCAGAGGCAGCTCGGTGGCACAGTGGCTAATAATAATGATAATGATAATGATGATGATGATAATAATAATAATAATAATGATGGTTAACATTTACATAGTGCTTACTAACTGCCAGGCACTGTGATAAGCACTTTATAATTATGCTGGACTTGGAGTGAAAAAAACATTAAATCAAATCTTGCCTCAGATACTTAACTGTGTGACCCTGGGCAAGTCACAAATTCTATGCCTGTTTCTTCATCTGCAAAAGAGGGAATTAGACTCAATGTCCTCTGAGGTCACTTCCAATTCTAAATCTGTGATCCTATGATTATATTCTGCAGCATTTAAACATACCCTCTTTGCCCATGGGAAGAGCGCTGGTTCTGGAGTGAGAGGGCCTAGATTCAGTTCCTGCTTTAGGTACTTCCCTCCTATATGACTTCAGGCACACCAGTCAACCTCCCTGAACCTTTTACCTCACCTATAAAAGAAGGATTCTGGACTCCGGAGTCTCTGAAGTTCCATCTGCTTCTCGGTCTATGATCCTCTGGCCCGAGATCTACTCTGTTTTATAATCTAATCAAATACAGTAATAACGCTAACAGCCACTTGTCTGACTTTGAATCTTAGATATCTGCAGCAGCATGAATAGGCAGATTCTTAATAAATTATTTCATTTTACTATATTCTCCACTTATAAATGTAAACAGTTTCTTTTTTTCATTTTTTTATAGTCACCAATCTCAATTATGTACATCTTGTTTTTTATTACAGTATACAATAAATTCAATACAAGTTCCAAATTATTCTGCTCTCCAATCTCCCTTGAGCTTACTTCTTTCTATTCTCAGCTACACATTTTTAATGCTTCACTGACACTTTTCTGTAGCACTATCACTAGTCCTCTCTACACTACAATTTCCCCTATGTCAAAAAAACTTTCCATCATAAATGACAATAAGCATAAACATGATCAAGTCAAACAAATCCCCCTATTGGCCATTTCTGAGAATATACACCTTATTCTATACCTTTAGTCCATCACACAATGGTGGGAAACATGCTTTATCATCTTCTGGAGTCACAGTTAGTCATTGCATGGATCAGAATGTTTGTCTTTCAAAACTGTCTTTATACTATTCTAATTTTTCTATTATTTGTTCTCCTGTTTTGCTTTATTTTGCATCAATTCACATAAGTCTTTGAAGGTTTCTCTTACTTCATCCCTTTTGTCATTTCTTATAGTGCAATAATATTCCATCACATTCATATACTGTAATTTATTAAGCTGTCCCCACCTGATGCCCCTCCCCCTTAGTTTCCAGTTCTTTTCTATAACAAAAAGGACTTGTAGGAATATTGTTATACACATGGGTCCTTTGCCCTCCTCAACTTTTTGATGTATACGCCTAATTAGTATTAATGGATCAAAGGATAAGAAGTTTAGAGACTTTGGTAGTATTGTTTCTTTCCAAAATGGGTGGACCAATTCACAACTCCACCAACAGTGCATCACTGTGCCTGTTGTCCCAAAAATTCTTCAACAGTTGTCATTTTCCCTTTTTGTCATCTTTGCCCAGCTGATGAGAAAGGATAGCTGTTGGTGCATCTTTTCCCAAACGGTCACGGATAGTATGCTTTTCTTCTTTTGAGAACTGCCTGTCTTAAATGAACCCCCAAAAACAATTAGGCAGACTAATGATTTTTATGGGTTCATTTTCTATCCTGCTACCTTTTTTTGCTTCACCTAATTTTAACTGATTATCCAGAGTTCTCAAAATAGATCATCACATGAACTAATCTTACTTCCCTTTGCTAACCTTATTTGCTAACCTTATTCCCTCAATTTCTTTTTTTTCTTGTCTTATTGCTCACATTTTTAAAACTATATCAAATATTTGTGATGATAGATATTTTTGCTTCATCCCTGACTTTATTGGAAAAGTCTCTATCATTTCTCCATTACAAAGAACATATACTGGGCAAGTAATATGAAGGTCAAAGTAATTTTAAAATTTCCTGCTTATGTTTTACATTACTAGCAATATCATTCCCAGAGAATAAAATGATCTTGTGATGACTTGGTCTATTTTTTCTCTAGTCATCTAGTGTCATCTTGCCTCTCCACGAAGCTGTTGAAAATGTTTATATACACTTAATTATGAAGTAACTTAGAGACATTAAATGGCACCCCCTTTCCCTTTGTACAACAGCAAAGGGGCTTCTGGATCACAACTAGAAAGAGCTATCTTCTTCAGTGATATACCTCACAATCATGAAAAACATTTTTGTGTGTAATTTTTTTCTTTTTACATCTGAAAGACAATTCTTATATGCAAGGATGTATTTACTTAACAGTAGCATTTAGAAACTCATGTTTGAAAAATTCATATTTGAAAAAAAATCATATTTTCTTCCTCAAAAAACTTCCAGTTTATTATATAACTTGTAGGTAAGTGGCTAAAGTATATGAATATGAACAAAGATCTCAAAAGAATATTGGAAAACTATAAATGGCATTAAATCATGCTTCAAAATCATTAATAGTAAGAGAAATCCAAATTAAAACATCTGAGGTTTTATCTCACTCCATGCAAATGGCAAAGATGAAAAATGAGGAATCAAGTCAATGATAAAGAGACTATTTTAAGACAGGTAACAATTATGCAATTACTTGGTGAAGCTTTGTAGCAGTTCAACCATTCTAGATGTCAATTTGTAATTATGCAAGAAAAGTGATCTTTTCAGTACTGTCCTACTATCTATATACCCCAAGGAAGTCAATAATAGAAAGAAAAAACGCAAAATATAAAGAAAGTTTTCAACTGAATAAAAGTCTGATCATTTAATTTTGAAAATATATGTGCATGTGTGTGTGTCTGTCTGTCTGTCTGTCTTATCCTGGAGAATGTCAACCAACTACAGAACTTGTTATATCCCCAGAGGTTAACTCCACAATATAACTTGCCAAGACCAAACACAGCAACAAAAGCAGCTATACTAGAGCATCTCATAAGGTACTTTGTTCTTGAATGAGTTCAAAGGGAAAAATAAGAAGCAAAGAACCTAAGTAGGAAACTTCAAAACCAGCACAAATAGCAAACAGTCAGCCATTCACTATAATCAATACCAAATTTCTCTGTGTTGCTGAAAAGCATTTAAGTTTTTTTACTTTCCAGGCAGGTAAAAAATGAAAATGCATTGGTTAAGTTAGAGTAAACAGTGTTCTTGGTGAATATGCCTAAAATCAGAATAAAATAGTCCCAGCTCTTCCTGCAGCTTACTTGTCTCATTTCCCATTCCAGAAATACAGTGAGGAAAGAGGAAGTATGGTATAACAAAGCATTAGACTTGGATTAAAGAAGACCTAGATTCAAATTCCACCTCAAACATTTAGTAGCTTAGCAAGCTCCTAGGCTTACTTACCTTCTCTGGGCCCACTCATCTTTAAAATGAGATGAACTTTAAAGTTTCTTTCAGTTCTAAATCTATGATACTATGAAACTTCTGACCTGAAGTTTAACTCTCAGGAGAAGGGAGCTTCTAGACAACAGCAAAACTACCCTGCTAAGTCTCCTGAGTTGGTATCCTGCCCCTTCCCAGAGAAAAGTAAATAGAGAGCACAGACTCCATGAAAATTAGCTCTACTTTGAATGAACAAGTTCACTTTAGCCTTAGGTATGTGGAATTTTTTGGGGGGCGGGGATTAAAAAACTGTCCCCTTAATGCCATCCTCTTATACTAAATAACCTCAGTATTATTTCCTAAAGTACACCTGAAATACACTCACTGTGATCTTTTACAGTTTGCTCCCAGGGTACCTAATGACTTTCCTCTGAACTCAATACAAAGACTTGATTTTAATCCATTCAATATTTCTTCAGAGTATAGAAGGAAGACCTTCAAATCACGCTCTAAAAAAAAAAAGTTTCAGAAATAGCCGGTAGAACCAATTCATCATTTCTTAGAGAAAATGCCTAACTTTAGGTCCCTAATTCTTACCTTCTAGTCAAAATTTCAAAGTTTCTCTAAATTCTCAAAACTGGGAAAAAGGGTAAAATGCTCTCTCCAGAATAGCCTGCTCTTTTACCTAGAGAGTTTGCCGGTCCTATCACATCATTTGTCACTAATGCCTGTAAGACTGAAAATGAAAGGACCAGTTTAAGGCCTCTATGTCAGCTAGTAAGGATCACAATGTCTCACTACTCTCAAGAGGTGATGGTGGTAGTAGTAAAAATAGTAGTAGAAGAAGTTAGTATTCTGGTTATTTACACATAAAATGCTTATAAATAAGTTATAAAAGTAAAATGAGTGCTCTTAGAAAAACTAATACACATTACACATTTAAAAAAATAAAAATGGGATGGTTCTGTGAACATACTTTGATTCTAAAAATGGAGCCATTTTAATCTAATAGACCTAAAATTACCACTGCCAACAACTATATAACTTTATAAAAATTTTAAATAATCAGGTATCTCTATTGAAGATGCCCAAAATTGTGAAGTGCTACTATGCTTATAGAAGTAGCAAAATATATAGAAAAATATCATAGATCAGCACCCCCATTTATGGGATTAAAAAACAGTATCTTCAACCTGCTACACGTCCTTTTTCCCAGCTCCAGTAAGCACTGATTAATGACCTCCACTTGCAAAGGAGGCTACTTACCTTAACCATGAAATAATGAATGCTATTGATTCAACAAGCTACTGCTATAGAGTGTTATTGATCACCCAATCTTTGGTTAAAATGGTCTTCATTTAGCAATTTCAGTGTCGCAAACACCTAGAGCAAAGCATGCTCATAATTAAAGAGTTTGGAGGAGTTTAAGTGAGAGGTGATGGACAGAGAGCTCAGCTTTCATCCATTTATTCCTGCTTCTGAACTATTGTTTGTGTCAGAAGGGATATTGATTTTCTATAAAAATAAGAAAACAAGAGGCACTGCAGGGCTGCAGAAGGTCAGTCTGGGCTACAAAAGGAGGGGCAGGCTTAGCACTCTGTCTCTGTCACTTGCCTTCCAGGAGAAGGGAATATTTTCTTTCCTGTGAAATTGGCCTTTAATACATCACTTCAGGAAGGCTCTTGGCTGCCACTTCAGGCTATCACCAAACCAATTCAATTAACCCAAGAGAAAAGAGCTGAACTACACATTCAGTGGAACTACCAAGTTGGTCTGTTAGCCCAGCATCCTATGATTAGGCTGTGTGAATCAACTTGTTAGTTGTTGCTGAACAGACTTTGAAATATAAACTGCAGGAAGAAATTCAATAAAATACATCTTCTGTCTCTCCCCCCAAAAAATCTTAGTCATAAGATCTATGTACACATACGTGTGTGTATATACACATGCACACAAAATTAATGACAAATAACCAAATCTATATCCTATTTAACATGTTTGTATATGTATAACCTGCAGAGAAAGAGACAGACACATACACGAATATACAATAAGAGATACATTCATGATTGTTTTCCGTAGCTCAAAAAAGAATTGTTTGTCACAGGATGGTGAAGGGAAAGGGAAAAATAGAACAAAACTAAAATGACTCCATGTTTAGTCAATCTCAAAAACAAGTTGGACCAAAAAAACCTTCGAGTGACTGAGTTATGCCAACATTAAAAAAAAAAAGCAGCACCTACCTTTTCTTTTAAAAGCACTTAAAATTTCTAAACATAACAAATAACTTTATCATTAAGTTTTCATAAATTGAACTACTTTTGCTAATTCTCAATTCAGAAAGGTAAAAAGTAAAGTTACTAATATTTGAATTTAACAATGAAAATGGGGCAAGACGGGCAGTTCTGGAAATCTACTGGTGAATACCTGGTTAATAGCTTCAAACTTTCACATCTTGAATTACATCTAATTTACAAGGGAAGCAAAGAGACTCCTATAAAAAGTAGTAAGCACATTTGTCATTAATAAAAAAACCACAAATTTTAACTACCAATATTTTGACAGAAGCCTCAACTCAATGCTAGTACAGCCCTGGAGGAGCAAGGAAATCTCTCCCATTTCCCAATGGAGGGAATCTAAAAGGGGGAAAACATGTATAGCTTCTCTATTTTCATTTACATTAAAGTCCTGATTAGCTAAGATGTGGTAGACCTTGGAATTCTTGAATAACTATAAAATTCTTAACAAGGAATTGTTCCCTCTGTTTCTGACGTAATTCCATCCCAGGATTGCTTTCTAACTACTAGAAGAGGGGGTAAGGGACATTAAATAAAATTCTGAGAAGTGTCAGGAACAGGCAGCTCTTGATATCCCTTGTACTGTCTACACCCCACAGATAGCCAAAGCTGAAAAAGGAGAATTATTTCCAGTTCAAAAAAAGAAATGTGTTCCTGACACATCCTCAAATCCTTGAGAATTATACCCATAAACCAGTTTTCAAGAAAAACTTGGTTAAGAAACAAAGCCCTAAAAAAGGTCACAAGTTCTGAAATGTAAAACATACTAACTTGTCCCCTTCAAATAATCTGGACTTTCAGATAACCGAGAAGTATACTGTCAAGACTAAATCCTATCAGATAAAATAAATGTGCTTATGAGCCAAGATGAAAGGTAAGAGAGACTGATGTAGTCGACTAATTAGAGGTTCCACATCTAGAAACTAGATTTGGAAAAAAAAAAATTGTTCAATCTATGGTAGGGATTCTTAACTTCAGGGTTGTGAACTTTTAAAAAAAAAATTTGAAGAAAATATTCCAATGTAACTGGTTTCCTTTATATATAATGTATTTAAAAACATTATTTTGAGCGAGAGTTCATAGGTTTCACCAAACTGCCACAGAGGGTCCATGAAACAAAAAAGGTCAAAAACTGAGCTGGGGCCTAGACTCTAAGCAATAAAAAGAAAATAAAGTAGAAAGAGTAGAGTAGAAAGAAAATAGTTATATCTATATGTAAAATAGTCTAAGAAATAATCAATGTAAAAAGAAAAAATGATGCCATGGACAGAGGTTTCTAGGAAAAAGTGATAAGCTATTATCCCAAAGTACAGTGATAATTTATTAGTAAAAATTAAAATTTTGTAAATATGCTAAAAATAAAAGCCTAATGATCTAAGAAACTAAGAACTATAAAAAAAAACCAAGAAGGAAGAAAACTTACATAAATCAAGAGAGTTTCAATAATGTGAAAGAGAACAAAAACTTAACAAAGAAACCTGTTTCCTAAACTATAGAATTCAAACACACACACGAAGAGAGGTAAGTAAGTACTTAAATAATGTATTTAGAGAAGGGAAGGAAGTCAAACTGTGAAGTCCCCTTGATATATTTCTGAAGTCTAGAGAATATAAGGTTTAGAGTGAAATCAAGATGCTAGGATTAAAAACCAATCAATCAATAAAAAGAACAGATATTCAAGCACAAGGCAGCTTTTCCTGTTTCTGACACATTCTACCCTGAAACTCCCCATGATTTATGCCCATGCTTTCAAGACATGTTTTGGAAAAGCAAAGTCCCAACAGAGGTCACAAGTCCTTCAGTGTGAAGAAGTGTAGGCTGAGACAGAAAAAAGGTTCATGGGAGACATCAAGTTGAACTTCCTCAATGGGAGTTCTACCAACTGCCAATGCACGAGGCTCCTCCTATCTGGAGTAAAATGATTAAGAAAAACTATGCTGACATGTTAACCAAAATTCCTTACAGGTAAGTCTTTTATTAAACTTAATATGAAAAAGCTAATAGGAACCAATGTTCTTTTTATTTTTGATGCTTCCTGTGCATAGAATCGATGGTTTATAAGTTAGACATGATACATATTTGAATCCAAGTGTTTCAATAGTTTAAAACTCAGATATTCCTAAATAATTCATAATACGTGAAAATTTTGACATAAAGCATAGCAGTCTTTAAAGTCAAATTCAAAGTTTCACATTACAGGCACAAAGCTTCTAATACCTACAAAAACATTCTCATAGGTATAACACAGAAGATGGATGGTTTATGAATATCAACTCTTGTTACTAAGATCATTTAAGAAGCCTGGAGATATCTAAGCTATTTGTTAACATAGGACTACAAAATCAAAACTGAAGAAGTAAATTTGTTATGAAAGGCTTGAATAAGACCATGGGGTTTGCACTTTGGAAAAGGTTAGCTGGGAAAACCTTTGATTTGTGTAGGGGGTGGCCTCACCATTCTGACATGTTCTCATCAGAGCCCTGTTTTTGTTCGTCAGCTTCACACTCCATCCTCTCCTTCCTGACCGATTTGCTAAGGAAAGTCCTATTATTTTCTGTGGACTCACACAACCCATGGCCTGATGAAGTCCAGGGAGCATTCTCCTTCCAACGTGACAGCCGTTGTTTCTTGGCAGATTTGAACCTGCAACCTCTCTCATAGCTCCAATCCGACACCTTGAGTTTTTGTTGGAGGCTGGCAGCCACTTCTGAGGTCACTCTCTTCACCTTCCTCCTCCGCCTCAGCGGTCTACAGGGTGCATTCTCAGTAAAGGAGTCTGACTCATGCCAGGAGTGCTGCTTACTCTTTAAGGTGGCATTGAGAGCTGGATGGCGCTTGGCCACCATTGTATCATCAGAGTCACTGAAGTTGGTGACTGCGGCCACTTCCCGACAGTCTTTCAGAGCCTCATCCAAGCTAGATTCAGAGGCCTCACTATAGCAGCAAGTATGCTCAGCTAAGTGGGTGAAGTCAGAACGCCGCTTCCGACCCCTCCGTTTTCGAAGTTGCCGTCTCTGCTGTCGAGGGCTCAGAGCCATCTCCTCCCACAACTCATCTAGCTTATTTTGCTCAGATGTCTGCTCCAAGGCCGAGGCCAGATCATGCACCAGCTCATCCATGAAGCCACGTCTGCCAAAAACAAGAATTTAAAACAAAATTAAAAATTGAGTAAAGCAAATAATGTTGTATATACCATATTACCATAGTATATACTCATATAAATATACCATACCTTGAATTAAAGATAGAGGAAGAAGTCACCCTTCATTAGAGTGTACTCTAACTCCTTTCTCACAATCTTTGCTTTCCCCAAAAAACCTTCTAAAAATGTGGCTGGCATATGCTCTATGCCAGAAGAGTGGTTGCTTTTATAAAGAAGAGCCACAAAGTTTCACATAAAACAGAAAGCATGATGAAATGGGAAAAGCACTAGACTTGGAGTCACTGGGTCTTTTGTAAAATGAGATCTTTTGTGAGAATGACAAATATAAAGGTATTATCTAGTAACTCACAAAAGAGAAAATTGCTTGAAATCAGCATCCAAGAACACAGTTCAATATGAAAAAACTACTTAACACCACTGGCTCTTTAAGAATACTTAAAAGGAATTAAATCATTGCCAACATTTAATTTTCTCCTTAAAGACATTGGCATCCTTGCCAATTAAAAGTTTTATTGAAACCTCCCCCCAAAAAAAACACCCCTAGATACCAACAAACAAAACCAGGCTAAATCTAAAACTGAAATGACTATTTGTATGGTACTGAACTTTTGGTTTAAGATTCCTGGCTAATTGGTTTTCCGGACTTTTTATTCATACTGATTCAAAATAATGAGACTGAATTTTGAAATTTCACACTGGCTTAAACTAGGAATTGACTGTAAGACAGCTTCACATTCAAAATGTTCATGATGAGAGCAGGGGGTAGGATCCGTTTCCAAAAATTCTAACAGCTTCTGACAACTTTGCAACAAAATAACCACAATACCACTCCTCCAAAGTGTGGGGTGGGTGTGTGGACTAAGTCCCAATCCCTTTACAACTTATATCCCCAGTAGGGGAGGACTTGAACCAGGAAAGAGGGCTATTATTTAGTATTTTCTTATTCCTTATTAAGCACATCTTAAGCACAAGTTTAAAAAAAAAAACACTTAATGCTTACTACCATGTTTAGAGGTAGTGGTTACTAGTCAATTTGGACCTTCCCTCCAAGTCATCCATGCCTGCCCAACCTGTGCAACGCTTGTTTATGTCCTTCCATTAAGATCTCCAAAGAAGGCCACTCTATGTGCTGGAGGGCCTTCCTTGCTGTCTCCTCACAAGTAAACTTATGAGACATTCCTGCCATCTACCTGTTATCCCTACCCATGATTTATGCCTATGCATAACCTCACCACCTAACCAACTCAAATCATACATTTCCCTAATGGCAACTCATGAAACAAAGTATTCTGATACCAGTTTATGGTTGCAATGGGCTTTAAATCATTCTGTTTTCATTATGTAGTCAAGACAGCAAATTCTATGTAGAATGCCATCTACTATAGCAACTGGTAAAACATGCAAAGATGTAATTACCAAGATTATGTTTATGACATATAATTCAAATTATCAAAATGCTATAATTCAAATAATCAAAATGCAAAACAAAAAATTACATTTTGCCTAAAAAAATTAAAGTAGCTGAAAAACCACTGGTGTCCTGCAGCCCAAACAAGATAAAAAAAAGGGGGAAGGTGTTCCTATAACCTCACTGACCCTAGAAAGAGTTCACTGCTCTAAAATCTCAGGCTTATTGATTGTACAAACTTTAATGCACATACTAGGTTTGAACTAGAAAAGTTTAATATTAAATATATAATATATTAGTTTAATATATATAATAATAATAGTTTAATATATATAACCTACATACATCTATGCCTGTGTGGGGGGGGGGGGTTCCTAATGGAAATGCCTTAGGAGTAAATGCCCTTTTCTCCATCAAATACTACGGCTCAAACCGGTGACATCTGAGGAACTTCCAGAGTCATACACCTCCAGCCTCAAGTGCACTGAAATTCAATGCAGACATACACAAGACCAAATGAAGCATCCCTGTCAAAGTTAAGAACTGAAGCTGTTTGACAGATGTGGAGGGGAGCCGTGGAAAATGCTGGAAGAAAGGAAGATCCTGCTCCTCCCAAGGCAGACCAAGGGAGGTCTGGAATTCAATATCAAGGGGCCTGCCATGGGCTCAGTAGTGGGGGAAGAGCTCCTTTCAAGCCAGGCCACTAGCATCTACAGGCAAAGCAGTTTCACCCCACACCCTCCTCCAGAATGCAGAAGGGTGGGTGGGTGTGTGGACTAAACCTCAACCCCTTTCTATCCTTTTTCTTGGGGAAGGGAGGCCTCGTGCCCCAGGAGCTGGGGAAATCAGTTAAAGGGGGGAAGGGAAGAGAGGATAAGATAGGAGAAGGGAGGATGGGGAGAAGAGGAAAGGAGGGAGAAGAAGAAGGAGAAGAGAAAGAGGAGGGAGAGGGCAAGGAGGAGAAGGGGGGGAAGAAGAAGGAAGAGAAAAGAGGGGAAGGAGGAGGAGGGAAGGGAGGGGAAGAAATAAGGAGCAAGACGCGGGAGGAGGACGGTAGAGGTGGGAGGGGAAGGGGATGGAGGAGGAAGAAGGCAAAAGGCGTTGCCTAGGAAACGGGGCCCAGGGCCCCTCGGGCGGCCTGGGCGTCCAGGGGAAGGCCCCGGGCCCCTGACAGCCGAGGCCCAACGCACCAGCAGCCAACCCCGGATCCCCGCCACCCCTCCGCGGGGCCCGCCCACCACCATCGCACACCTAGGGGCTGCCCCATCGGACTTTCGCCATGGTCCCCCAGGGGTCTACGTTCCGGATCCAAGAAGGAGATGCCTGAGACCCGCGGGACCCGGGGCCCCGGGCTCCCGCCCACCTCCCACTCACCGGCTGCCGCAGCCCCCTCCAACGGCCACCGCACTTTGGGCCCCGTCTCTCCGCGGGGGTTTCCCTCTGTGACCTCATTTCCGGTCGTGGCCCGAGGTGGGGAGGAACAGGAAGGCGCGAGAAGTCCCTCCCCCTTCCCCTCCCCCGTGCTCCAGCCCCGCCCGAGCACTTCCGAGAGACCGCCTGGCACCGGGGGAGACCAGCTGGGGCCTCAGAGGGGACAAGGGTTTTGAGGGAGCCACTGGCGCTCCGCCCCGGGGGCGGAGCCACCGCTGAGTGCTCGGCCACGCCTCCCGGAGCTTCTGGGTTCCCAGAGCGTGTGGATACGTTCCCTGCGGCGCATCCTCTCGGTGCTGGGAGGTACCGGGTAGTTCCCAGCTGGTTAAAACTTTTGCTTCCTTTTTTAAAAGAAAGCACATCTGGCCTGACAGGGGCACCCAGAGTTTAAGTGACTTGCCCAGGACCACCCACTCAATATATGTCCTGAGACAAACTCAGTAGCTGTGTGACCCTGGACAAGGGAGTCACTTAGCCTCTCTGCCTCAGTTCCTTCTGAGAAACCACTAAAGGGCCTTTAAGAGGTCTTGGGCCACCAAGACCTTTTCTTCTCCCTTTGGATCAGGATAGAATCATGGATCTGGAGTGAAAATGTTTTAAATGAGTTAACATATGTAAAGTCTTTTGCAAACCTTAAGTGTTACATAAATGCTGCTATCATCAATTATTATTATAGCAGCCAGGGGCCTCAGAGACCAATCTATAAGACCCCTCATTTTAAAAAAGAGGAAACAGAAGGTCCCAAGGTGGTTAAGGGACTAGGACAGAATACTGCTTCCTAAGCCATGAGACCTAGAGCAAGTTATTTTCCTCACTTTTGTCGTCTGTAAAATGGAGATAATGATAACTACTCCTTCAAATGAGATTTATAATGTGTTAAGCCCTATGGCATAAGACTGAATTCCCACTATGACAGAGGAGGAAAAGTATTGTTTATAAAGATTGCAAGGCATTTTACAAATATCTCATTTTATCATCAGACAACCCTGGGAAATAGGTGCTATTATTCCCATTTTACAAATTAAAAAACTGAGCTGGGAAATAAATGCTATTATCCCCATTTTACAGAAGAAAAAACTGAGGCTAAGAGGTTACATTTAATTCAATAACCATTTATTAAGTGCCTACTGTGTACCAGGCACTGTGCTGAGTACTACAGATGCAAAAAGAGGCTAAAGACAGTTCCTGCCCTCAAGGGGCTTACAATCTAATAGACTTCAAAGCCCACAAACTGGCTATGTGACTCTGGGCAAGTTACTTAAACTCTCAGTGCCAACTCTCCTAAAATCATAAATTGAAGAGTATGCCTTAATCTGCATTGGTAGAGAAAGTTTCTTCACATCAATGAATTTAATTCTAATACCACAAATCTACAACTGGAAGGGATGTCACTGACCATGTAGTACAAAATCCTCATTTTACAGGTGAAAAAACCAAGGCCTCAAAAGATTAAATGTTTTGCCCAAGGTCACACGGTAGTGTCAGAGTTGAGATTTGAACCCAAGTCCTTTGAAGAAATAGTGCTCTCTCCAGACCCAATGATATAGTACAGTAGTAGAATGAGAATTAGGATATCTAAGTTCTAGTCTCCAAGCATTGCCACCAACTTAGGAAAGTCACTTCAAATCTGTGCCTCATTTTCCTCATCTGTAAAATAAGAGGTGAACTAGATAATCTCAAGGGCCTTTCCAAGAGCTAAAATTATGTTACTTCTCAGGAATCATATACTCTTAGCATTGGAAGGACCCCCTTAGAGGCTATATTTGAACAGGAATCCTCTCACTGACATTTCCCCTTCCAGATTGATTTATTTTTTTTTAACTATGTAAAGAGGCCATTCTCTGCCTCATTTTTTACAAAGGCCAAGGTCTCCCACTGTATCCAGGGCCATCTCCAGTCATCCTGATTTACATCTCCCCACTGGACCCAGATGGCTCTAGAGGAGAAAGTGAGGCTGGTGACTTTGCACAGCCCTGCCTCACTTAAACCCAATTCACTTGCATGTCATGGCTTCACTTCCCTGATGTCATGATCCTCTTCCAAAACAAAGGACAAACAACAACTTTATATGGCAGAGGGTCCAGTTTTCTCCCCATCCTGGTCACCATCCTAAAGTTTTTACAGTGGTGCTATTCTACAGGTGAAATAGTAATTTAGCACCCTGCTAGATCATAAAGCTAATTTAGTGCAAAGATTTTAAATATCATGCTTCACAAATACACCCTTTCTAACTTGAGCATTTTTTCAAAAAAGATAATCATGGTAACAGTGCTGTCTCTTGCATCCTCAAAAGATGCCACAGCCTCTTCATATCAGTAATCTGTGAGCTGGAATCATTTTCTGTCAAATGCTGGATAATATAAAGGCTGTTTGATTCTTCGCAACTTCTATCATTTTTTCCTCTTGTTCTTCTCTCTAGGATAAGGCAGGATAAATCTAATCCCTCTCCCTGGAAACAATATTTGAAGACAGCTAATGTGTCACCAGGGCAGCTAGATAGCACTGTAGATAGAGGGCCATGTCTAGAGTTAGAAAGACTTATCTTCCTGAGTTCAAATTTGGCCTCAGATACTTACTAGCTGTGGGACCCTGAGCAAGTCTCTTAACCCTGTTTGCCTTAATTTCCTTATCTGTAAAATGAGCTGGAGAAGGAAATGGCAAACCACTCCAGTATCTTTGCCAAGGAAACTCCAAAATGGGATCACAAAGAGTTAGACATGAGTGGAACAACTCAATAACAACAGTGTGCCCACCCAAACCACTCAGTTTTCTCTTCTCCAAGTTCAACATACCTGGTTCCTCTAAGCAATCTTCAAATTATACAGACTTAAGATCCCACATCATGTTCATTACCCTGTTCTGGACACTCTGCAGTTTATCAATGAACTTCCTAAATTAGGACACTTAGAACTCAACACTATCCCCTAGATGTGCTCTGACCAGGGCAAACTACAGAGGAACTCTCACCTCCTTGTTCTTGGAACTATGCCTTTCTTTCATGCATCTCCAAGATAGAATTTACTTTTTGGCTTACAATCACATTGCTGATTCAGAGTAAAGCTAATACTTGGTCCAGAAGGAAATCAGACTCATTCATGACTTTGGTTTTGATATTCATACTCTAAACAGTCACCAACAAATAACTTCATCACTTTACTATTCTTTAGTAATTCAATCAATAAGCATTTATTAAGCATCTACTATATACCAAACAGCGGGTATTCTTTGTATCCTGGAGATACAAAGACAAAAATGAAATTGTCTCTGCCCTGTTGATATTGGTTTATATTGTCAGGGGAAACAATACATCCACATATAAGTAAATTTAAACTTTTTTGGGGGTCTGAACCTGTATTTTCACTTGTTCTGGGATCCCCCAATGAAGTCACTCTCTGTGCTAATGTAAACCAGCAGTTGTACTATATGTAGCTAATAGTCTTAGAGCAAGGGTGGGGAACCTACAGACTTGAGACCACATGTGGTTTTCTAGGTCCTTGGGTGCAGCCTTTTGACTGAGTCCAAGTTTTACAGAACAAATCTTTTAATAAGGATATTTGTTCTGTAAAGCTAACACCCCAGAGTTGTCTGGGGTATTAAAAGGTTTAGAGACTTACCCAGGGTCACATAGCCAGTATGTATCAGAGGCAGGATTTTAACCTGTGGTTTCTTTGCTACAAGTCCAACTCTCTATCCTCTACATTATGCCACCTCTCTTATAGAAAATGTGTAAAAAGTCAATTTGTCAGAAGTGGTATAGACTAGAAGCTGTGGGGAATCAAGAAGGATTTATTTATTTATTTGTGTAGGAGGTTCCCTTAAAGAAAGCTGGAGGCAAACATGAGGATGAAGTGAATTCCAGGTATGGGGAACACAGCCTACACAAAGTCATGGAGAAAGAAGATAGAATGGCATATATGAGGAAATTAGACCAGTTTGACTGGATTGTAGAGTTCATGAAAGGGAGCAGTATCTATAGCAGGGGTTGGATCAGGTGATCTCTGATCAATTGAATCCACCCATCCCACTTGTTGAAATTCAAAAGAAATTATTATTTCTCTCATATTAATAGCCAAAAATTAAAATTGGGGAGACCCCAGCTTTTTTTCTCTATCCTATTTCCTTGTCCAATCCCTCAAAGACTGATGGAAGATAGGATTAACATTTTCCTCATTTTGGGTGTTACTACCCTGACTAAATCAGACTTCTAATCTAAGGTGAAACTCCCTTCTGCTCAGACTTGGATGGGGGCTAAATTCTTTGAATAGATGCCCAAGGCTGGGAGTGGTCTGGGTATAGGGATGGTCTCTCTTTGACATGATGTCACTCTCAGTCTCTTATTGTAATATTCATTCTCTCATCAATTGTTAACCAATCAGAGTTTATTGTCACTCTCAGGAACAACCCTCTTCCATGGGCATATAAACCATAAGCCCACAGCTGCCATGATTGTCTTTGGCATTCAAGAGTGCCACAGACCTCCTTTTATTAAAATGCTGGCATTATTAATAAAATGACTACCCAGAAATTATGTCTCTTGAACTTTTTAAACATCATCAATTATAAGATATAATGAGCAGATAACTGAAACAGTGAGATATTAAGGTTTTGTCTCTTTCACATTTTGAGTGGGTATATTCACATCTTGTAAAGGACACAAAGCCTTGAGGAGCTCTTACCTCGAGTGACCTATCTGCAGATTCTGAGAGGTACAAACCAGGAGTGGCCCTTGTCACCTTGACGACTCTTTTAGGAAGTGTAAAGAAATTCCTCCTTGAATTAGAATTGCAGAGCAGCAAATCATTGGATCAGCATTGATCTAGAGGACCAGCCACATCCCTGGTGGCCATAAAAATCAAGATCAGTTTCTGAGAAGAGAATCATTTGTAGCAGTCAAGAAGAGAAACTTCTAAATTAAAACCATCTATAGTCATATGAAAAAATGCTCTAAATCACTACTGATTAGAGAAATGTGAATCAAAACAACTCTGAGGTACCACATCATACCTATCAGATTGACCAACATGACAAAACA